CAAACGAGCTGAATCGTTATTAGTGAATAACTAACCCGTGATAACATTTGTCATCGGATAAGTAAATGATTGATTTTCTTTTATTTTTCTTGTTTATCTTCTTCTATGCTTCATTTGTCCTGATCAATGACCTAATTCAAAGGCAATGCAATTAGAGGAAAGGAGCAAAAAATGAGAAAACGATATTAGTGTGTAATGTGAAAAGTGGGGTCAAATAAGACTGTAGGAAGGAAAAGTAGGTGGAAAATAAGTCCTTTCACCATTTTCCACCCTTCACTTTCCCTCTTCCTTCTCTTGCTTTTATTTCCTTTGTGTTTAAAAAATAGAATAAATTGAGAATAAGTGGGAATCCCTAATGTGGATGTGTGCAACTGCATCTAGGGATGATAATGGATCGAACCGATTTGGCTCAGCTCGGGCTCATGGTTAGGGATGGTAATGAATCGAGTCGATTAGGATCAGCCCTTTGACGAGCCTACGAACTCGGCTCTTGGAATTGAGCTCCCTGCTCGACTCGAGCTCAGACTTGTCATTTAGCTCCACTTATGGGATTAAGCCCCCTGCTCGGCTCAGGCTGGGGCTTGTCAAATGAAGAGCTCGAACCGTTCACTAGCCGAGTTTTAAAAAGTCGACGAGTCATTCGGCCTGGTTGACATCCCTAACTGCATCATCGAAGACATTTTATTTCCACTTCTTAAATTATTCAAATTTTATTATCTTTACTTTTTTATGGTATTTATTCTCCTTTTGAGTAGACTAGATGCCGAAATATGCCCCCTTTGAGGATTAAAGATTACGAAAAGCTTCAAAACAGTTGATAAAAAGAATATGACTTTATTGTACTTAACTTTTCTTCTTTTCAAATGCTTAGTATGCCTTTGCCCTTGAAATTTCTTCATTTTCAAGTTTTAGACATTATGATTTCAATATTTCATTACGTGAATGACTAACAACTTATTAGTTCATTTATTAACATGCTTTGAATGATTTGATTTGATGGGTAGAGGATGGATTTTGATATTTCATTTTGTCACAATTAATAACAATTTGCATTTTAATCAATTTCGTTGAAAGAAAAAAAAAATAAAAGGACTAGTCCAATTGGGTGTTGTAGATGGTCAAAACATTTTCTTTTCTTTTCATTCTCCCCTTTTTTTGGGTTTATATAAAAATTAAAGTTCTCAAAGATTAAATTTAATAACAAATTCATTATTTCCTTCGTCTTCCTCAAACCAAACATGGTGGTAGAGTCGTAGTATCAATGGTGCTAGATCTTTTGTATATTTTACTTATACATGTTTGGTGAAGCTTAATTTTAAGCAACGGTGAGGTCTATTAGTTCATCGTCTAATGAATTGAAATGTATTTTCATTCATAGATAGTAAATCAAGTAATGATATTTATGAGTACTCCAAACACAGAGAGTTAAAATTCATTATAAAATATGACATAATTCCAATAAATTATTATCATCTAAATTGGTACTTAGCACCATTATTTTAAATGGACACCGCCATACATCTCAATTATTTATGAGTTAATTGTTCCTATGGTAACTGAACTTAGATCCATATCTTTAATTGACCACTGAACTTTAAAATGACAAGTTTTGGTCAGTGACCTTAAAATTCATTGTAAAATATGACATAGTTCCAATGAATTAATATCATCTAAATTGGTACTTAGCACCATTATTTTAAATGGACACCGCCATACATCTCAATTATTTATGAGTTAATTGTTCCTATGGTAACTTAGGTCCATGTCTTTGATTGGCTACTGAATTTTAAAATGACGAGTTTTGGTCAGTGACCTAATGTTCATGTCTTTGATTAGTTACAGAACTTTAAAATGTCGAGTTTTGGTCATTGAACTTTAAAAAATATCAAACTTTGGCTACAGAACTTTGAAAAATATCGAGTTTTGGTAACTGAACTTAAGTCCATGTTTTCAATTGCTCATTAAAATTTTAAATATCTAGTTTTGATCACTGAATTTTGAAAAATATTGTACATAATTCACTGTAAACTCGATATTTTTCAAAATTCAATAGTTATGCTAATAAGTAG